TCGTAAAACAACCCCTCTCCCCAGCCCAGGCAGTTCTTCCGGAGTAAGGCTTGGGGTAGCGATAGAGTTTACTCTTCCAACGTTACAAGTTTACTAAATGGTATTCTCTATTGTTTCTGTCTTACCAGCCACAACCATCACCTCCACAGAAATGCGCCGAGTGCCCGCGAGCCCCCCCACCCCCCACCCTGCTGACAGTGACCCTCAGTTCCTGGATGTCCTCCTCCACCCTTTCCCTCTCTTCTCTTCACTGTTTTTCTCTTTGTGTAACAGTTTGGATAGTTTCTTTTTTAAAAATTCGATACATTGTATATATTGCCAAACGTTTACCACAAGAAGGTTAGTTAACGCCAGTTTGGAGGACTTTTACGGACCCGTTTTAAAGTTCACCAGTTTCTTTAGTCTCCTGATGAGCTCGTGAAGAGAATTTGCCATCTCTCATGTCCTGGTTTTACAAACGTTTTCGTCATTCACCTTGATTCCTTTTGACAGATCCCATCCCTGCCATTGTGCCGTCATCCCATCTGTTTCTGTATATCGTCCATCCTTTTATTTATTGATTTTTCTCGCCTTTTTATGTCTGAAAGTTCTCGAATGCGGGACCCTGTGTCTTTCGGTTCGTCTTTCACCCCCAGCTGCCAGCAGTCTCTGTACCCCTGAGCCTCCTGGGGTCTCTCCATGTTTTTGCCCCTTGTCCAGCTCCCCCGAAGGTCTGTTGCTGGTCCCCAGTCTCATGGTTTTCTGGGCTCTGGTCCAGCGTCAGGCTAGCAGGCCTTGTGCCCCCTGTACCTCGGGGTGGGGCTTTCTCAGCACCCCCTCCTCCTCCTTGTACCTATGACCGGCCTGGGGCCGTCTGCGGGTTGCCTGCCCACCCAGTGGCAGCAGGGCCTGCTTGGTGTCCGAGCAGGATCCGCACCTAAGGGCTTCCCGCTCCTCCCCAGGGTGCAGGGACTCGGCTCCCACACCTCCCTGTGGTTTGGGGATCGAGTGTGTTGATGTCCGGCAGCAGCTCAAGGTCTGTGTTATTTATACACGAATGTTCTTCAGCAGCAAGTGGAGCACCCTGTCTGTCCCCGAGGCAGCCTGTCTCCTCCCGCAGGCTGTCATCTCGTCTGCTCGTGTGTATTGTCCTCGGTGCCCCGTCCTGCTCCCGTCCGTCTCTGGGGCTCTGGGGCAGGGTCGCCCCAACGCAGCAAATGAGAGGATAGGGTTCGATCGGGAAAAGAGCTTGCGAGTCAAGCCCTTCTGGTCTTGGAGACGCCCTGCTGTTCCAGACCGATAGGGCCCATCCTGGGTCTCTCGGACCACGGAGGGTCAGTGGCTGCCTTCTTCCCGCTGGTATACCAGCTGCCTTTCCCAGGGGACAGCTCCTGCTCTCCGCTCTGTGGCGGGCTTGTCACTGGAATTCAGTTTCCTTGGCTGCCTTACAACTCAGCTCTCCGATAGGTTCAAGAAGAGCTGTGGTTGCGTTTCTTAGACTGTAGTTTTTGTCGCTGTCGGATGGGAGTTGACATTCTGCTGCTGCTGCTGCTTGTGTTCTACACGGGAGTGGAGTTAGACGCATCTCAAGGGCCTGGTAAGACAGGACTGCACTTGAAGTGGAACACGACCTTCTGGGAGCCTACGTCAGAGACGGCAGCGGTGGAGAAGGTGAACGACGAGATCGGCGCGGACTGGGAGTGGGGGCAGAGGGGTAGAACCTGGTTTCCAAGCCTGTTAATACCGGCCCTTCGTCAGCCGAACCCTCAGCCTCTCCGGTCCGCAGGCCGACGCTCCAGCCGCTGAGCCAAACCAGCCAGGGCGGACACGGATCTTCTTCACCCTTCTGGTTACTCTGAGGTTTTCAGTCTCTGGGAAAGTGTGGCATCTCTCGTCCCTTCACCTGCCTGCAGCCTCGTCACGCTTGATCACTCTGTAACTGCCACCTGCTTTAAAAACGAGGTTAAAACTTGCCACTTGAAGAAAGTCTTTCTTAGGTTAATGCTCAGACATTGATTTCTGTGGCGTGTCTGGGGACTTCCTTATCTACTGTAATTATAACAAAAGGAGTCCTGATCCGGGAGTTGGAGCACCTGGGTTAGAGCCCTAGTCCAGACCTAGGTGTAGCCTTGCCCGAGACGCTTTTCCTCATTAGGTTGTTGGTTCCCTGCCCAGCCAGTGTGGCTCAGTGGTTGCGCATCGGCCCTGCACCAAGAGGTCGCTGGTTCGATTCCCGGTCAGGGCACATGCCCCGGTTGTGGGCCTGATCCCCAGTGGGGGGCGTGCAGGAGGCGGCCAATCAGTGTTCTCTCATCGATGTTTCTCTCTCTCCCTTTCCCTTCCTTTCTCTCTAAAATCATTAAAGACAAAAAATTTTAAGCTGTTGGTTTCCTAATTAGTAAAAGAAGGAAAAATGTTCACCAACATTTGTTGCCAAGTAGGTATTCAATGAAATAAAACATCCTGAGGCCAGTGACTCAGGGGTTAGTCGCCTAGCTCTGTGCTTCGGTTCCCACCTACGAAAATGATGACACCGTGCTGTAAGAAAAAAAAAAAAGTATCTTTATTGTTTGAAGTATGACACACGTGCTTTTAAAGTTCTTTTCAATTTGTGGACTGCAAGCATTTCCGTATGTACTGCCGTTATGATTCCATATGTTAGAGTTTTTAAGTTTATTCTCATATTATTTCATGCAAGTATGTGTTTTTTGTTTGTTTGTTTGTTTGTTTGTTTCTGTCCTTGCCCATGAAATGCATGTACTCAGGGGTTTGCTGTAGACTTGGGTAACCAAGGTAACAACTCGGGACCTCAGTCACTCCAGCTCTGAAATGGGACAGCAGCAGACAGTACCTGCTCTCAGAAACTTCATCTAGTCCAAGTGTCTTAAGTTTATGAAGTCCAAAAAATTATATTTGCCCATTCCTCTGCCTATAGCCTTTATTTTTATTTAAAAAAATTTTTTAATTGGTTTTAGAGAGAGAGGAAGGGAGACACAGGGAGAGAGAGAAACATCGATGAGAGAGAACATGGATGGGCCGCCTCCTGCACGCCCCCCACTGGGGATCGGCCCCCCAACCTGGGCATGCGCCCTGACTGGGAATCGAACCCGTGTCCTCTTGGTGCAGGGTCGACGCTCAGCCACACCAGCCTATTTCCTCCCCACCCCCTCACTCTCTAACCCCCTTATGACTTTAAATTTACCCAGCACTTTGCCTTATTAGGGTCTCTCTGCCATCTAGTGACAGAAATGGGAACTGCAGAGTGACGGGCATGTCCCTGTGGGACTGTCCCGTGCTGTCCACAGTGAAAAGGAAGGACACACCTCGCTCTTTGCAGCTGACCCAGACGCGAGGTTCGGTGGTTCCGTGACTTGGGCCTTCTGCCTCCGTCCCCTCTCTGTCCTACGAGACTCTCCTTTCTCCTGTTCACCCCCCTTTCCTTGGTGGTGTTCACACCCAGCATCGGCGCGGCGTCTCTGGTGGGCGAGCCCCTCTGGTAAATTTCCATAACTTTTCTTTGACACCGATTCAGAATTTCTCATGTTCTCGGTACGCGCAGCAAGGGTGCTTCCCGAATTAGGTGAATTCTCCTACTGTGAACTTCCTATTTTGTGTTTTCGTAGGAGCTAAGTTTTAGTTTAGAATCATCTGTGCATAGAACCTAGGAGAGTCTGTGAGAAGGTGTGACATCCAGCCCCCCGTCTTATTTTTAACTCTCTGCATAGAGTGACCTAAAACATGGCTTATACTGTGTTCTTATGATGGCCTGTGCATCCTGCTTATGGGGAAAGACGCGCACCTTCCGAAATGCAGAAGAGAGAAAAGCAATAGTAACGGCAAAAGGCAACTAAAGACACAGGCGGTGAGAGGCAGGCTCACCTGTGATGTCCCCTCCTCCGGTGTGTGCCCTCTGTCCTGTCGTGTGACAGTGCTCGGGAAAAACACCTGTAGGGTGGTGGTTGTTGTTTTCCTGGAAATCAACTTATATTTTTCTCTGTCTCAAATTTTTCAGCATGTAGCGGTGTCTCTCAATCTGGTTTGTGACCACTCTTCCAAAGAGAGCACCTGTTCCCCAATAGAGGTTGTGCAATAACCGTCTCCAGTGCTTATTTGGGGGGGGGGGGGGTCAGTAATTCATGACGAGAGTTTTGACGGATGCTCGGGAGCTTTCTCAGTGTGCGCTCATCACTGCAGGCTTCTGTCCGGATCTGAGGTGGGGTGACGTTTTTCTCCGGATGTGTAGGCACAGCCCCGTTCATTGTCTTTATAGCCGGAAAGACGGACAGGTCTGCGTCCCTGCCCCGAAGCGGGTGTCCGTGGCATGAAGAGATGCCCATGCTTTATTTGTGTTCTGTGTATTGAGATCCCCTTTCTCTGCCGTGGTCACTGGTAGTTCAGTTTCCGCCGGGCTCCGTGTGCGGCTGTCCAGTGAGGCCGTGCCTGTGATTTATGAGCCCAGAGAAAGCGGTGCTGTGATTGGCTCCCTGGCCAAGAACACACCGTGTATTTTCTGCTGTGTCAGCGTATTTGCTGCCAATGACCCAGAGGACGTCTGTTTGCAGAGCTGTGACCCGGTCTTTCTGCGTCGTCCGCTCAGGGCACGGTGCCCACGGTTCTTTATTCCCCGAAAAGCTTCGCACCTGAGTCCCGGCCCGTCGGAAACAGACACGCAGACGCCGTCTGAGTTTGTACAAGCTGGGAAGCCAGCGATGCTTTGGTTAAATAAGCTGCCCTTTCCCTCTCTCGGGTGTGGATCAAATCACTTTCAAGGTCAAGTGCTCCTAAAATGGACTGGCCAACGGGCGATCGTGCACACAGTCCTCTGGTTTGATTTTGGGTTGTCAGTTGGAGGCTGAGTAAGTGTTGAGACGAATAATCCCTGACTCCCTCCCCTAATTCCCATCCAGCGGGTCAGGCAGTTGGGTCATATGTTGCTTTTAAAAGCTTATCCAGTCGTCTCTTGAAACGTTCCTTCCAACTCACGTGCCCACTCACGCCATCTGCGGTCCGCCTCTCCCCAGGCACGTCCACACAGGCCTCCCAAGAGCCTCGACGGCGCTGTGGACGATGACGACGACGTGGACCGGATCAGCAAGTCAGTAACGGGTTGTGGCGCGCCGCCTAGCGCGTGGCTCGAGGCGGGGGTGGTGGGTGACGCCGTCTGTTCAAGGCGTGTGCCCTGGCGGAGATCAGATGTCACCTCTTGTGATGTTCGTCAGGAGGAACCCCTGCTCGCTGGAGTCTCGGGGGGTCATCCTGAGAGGGGATGGACCTGGACTGGCTTGTTCTCGGGAGGCAGTGGTACCCCTAGAGGGGTCTGACACCGTGAGAGGGGAGCAGGAAGTCACCCCAGTTAGGCCCCTGCCCTCCCCCTGAAGAGGGGCGGGTTCGCTTCCGGGGCCCATTGAGACAAATGGAGCCGGAGGACCGGAGGGACGTCAGTCCACATGCTGTCAGACGAAAGTCGAACACAAAGTGTTAACCATTAATTTCATTGTCAAATGAGGGAATTAATAACCGTGTCCATTGGACTTCTTAACCCTTTTAAGATGCAAAGGGGTGACAAGTAGACATTCCTTTTCTTCATGAGATAGATCTTTGTCTAGGTATGGGACTAGTCATTCTTTCAGAAAATGAGTGAATCAGTGCAAGGAAAAGCGTATTAACCTGTTGCACGCGAACTTGACAACAATCTGCATCCCAAGCGATCAGTCTACCGCTCCTGAGGGGGTGTCCCAGTTCCCACAGAATTGGCCAGCGGGGCATCCGGCTTCTGCTTCCCATTGATTAAGGCGCCGGAGACGGTCGGTCCGCTCGCTCCTAATGCAAACCCCCCGAGTTCCCAGTGTTCAAACTGCTTAGGCAGCACTCGGAAGAAGGTGGTCGTGGACCAGTGACCCATCCAGTCCCCCGGGCCCCGGAATCGGCCCTGTGATGGGAGGGGGTACAGGCAGCAGGTGTCCTGCAGCCCCAGAGCGTCTGGTCTCCCTCCAGGTTGTCGTGTGAGGACAGCGAGGATGCCGCCGCCTACTCCTACGAGAGCGACGACTCCGCGGAGACGAGAGGGAAGAGTCTGTACTCGGGCGAGATGGACCTGCTGGGCGAGATCCTGGACACGCTGAGCACACACAGCTCCGACCAGGGCAAGCTGGCCGCAGCCCGCAGCCTGGACTTCTTCAGATCCATGGACGACATCGAGTACAGGCCCACGGTGAGTGGCTGTCCCGCTGTGGCAGGCGGAGGGTTCGTCCGGGGCCGCGCGAGGCCCTCGCCGTCTGCAGAAGTGTTTCTAGCACCGAAGTTCCAGTTTTGAGGGGTTTTCCCCCTTCTTTACCCAATTCTGTAGGGATTCTCATCCATTGAAATTCTTTTGTCAAGTAATCACGTTTTCTGACCATCTAATTTTATAGTTGCCTTTTCTTTTTAAATGTGAAATGTCCTCCCCCCCCCCAATTTTTTATCTTAAAAATTTTGTAGTAAATGTACTAATTTTTATTTATTTATTTATTTATTTATTTATTTATTTATTTTTGTTGATTTTTAGAGAGAGAGAGGAAGGGAGAGGGAAAGAGACAGAGACGTCAATGAGAGAGAACATGGACTGGCTGCCTCCTGCATGCCCCCCACTGGGGATCGGGCCCACAACCTGGGCATGTGCCCTGACCGGGAATCGAACCGGCGACCTCTTGGTGCAGGGTGGACGCTCAACCACTGAGCCACAACGGCCGGGCTCTTTTCCTTTTATTTTATTTATTTTTATTGAGGTGAGAACACTTGAGATCTACCCTCTCAGTCCACGTCAAGTCCGGTGTTAACCGGAGTCAGCGTGGACCTTCGTGCCCAGAACTTACTCAGGGATGAACCGGACCCATCCTGCCCTCCGCCCAGCGCAGCCGCCCCGCCAGCCCCGCCCCCTCCGCGCCTGCCAGTCTGCGGCTCCCCCGCCGCTAACGGGCCCGCGGCAGCGTCCTCGCATCCCCTGGTGCACTCATCCCCGGCGGATGAGGCTGGCTGTCACCCGCGGCAGAGTGTCCCTCTTGTTAGGGTGGAGGGCATTCTGCCATCTTTACACGCCACGGTTTCTTTTTTTCTTTTTTTTTTTTAATCTCTTAAAGCTAAAGTGCTATTTTCTTTTTGTTGTTGGGGATATTGTAGCTGTCCCCCTGTGTGCCCACACACCGCGGTTTCTTTCTCCACTCGTCCGTCCGCGGCTGTCAGGTGTCCCCCCACCGTGAGTGTCAGCGAGCCTGGGGGCAGCTGTGGCTTCCAGTCTGTGGTTTCGTTTCCTCTGGACAAATGCCCAGTGGAACGCGGGGCCCGAAAGCAGGCCCGTGTTTAATTGTTGGAGGGACACCACCCGGGCCCGTCCCGCCGACAGCGCAGAGGGGCTCCTCTCCGCACCCTCGCCGGACGGTCATCTGGCTGGAACCCCGCCGGGGACGGTTGCGAGAGCGTGGGGACGTAGGCCTCGTGCTGTTCTGGTGCGTCAGGCCCCTGGGCGCTTAGGATGACCTGTCCGTGCCGTGTGTCCTCTGGACGGGACCTCCAGCTCCCGGCCTGGACGAGGTGAATGCCGTCGCTGGTCGCAGCACGGAGAGAAATAAGCGCTGGAGGGGATGCCCTCGTTTTGTGAAAGGTTTTCTGAATCCGTTGTCTCCTCTTTCAGAACAAATCCAATGCCCCGAGCGAGGATAACCTGGCCGTCCTCTGCAGCGGGTCTGGGGATCAAGGCGACAGGTACCTCGGCCAAGACGACAGCGCCCTGCACAGGAGACACCTCCCTCCGTCGCCCGGGAAGCGGGTGTCCTCTGGCGGTGCGACCGAGCTCCTGTTCATCCTCCAAGAGGAAAACAGCGAGAAACCCCTCAGCGCGGCCCTCGGGCGTGGCCCCGGGGGGGCGGCCCCGCCAGCTTCCCCTCCGGACCCGGCTTCCCAGCAGCCTTCTCTCGAAGCTGCCCAGACTGGACAAGGGACAGCGGAGAAGAAGGAAACACTAAGCCAGATGCCAGACGATCAGCTCATTCCGAGCCTCGGGCGACGTCCCTCCACCTCAGTTCCTTGGGAGAAAGACAGGAAAGAAGCCAAAGAGACTTGGGAAGATGTCGGGCAACTCCACAAAGGGGTATCGCCATGTCCCGTGGCCTCCGCTTCCCAACAGGACTTACACGGGTCGGAAGGACACTCCAGTGGAAGCCAGGCCGCAGCCGGCCACCAGGAGCCGGGCTCTGGCCTCCAAGCCGCCCTGGAGACACCCGAGGGCTCCGTGTCACTGACACAGTGAACAGCGGTGTGTAGGAATCACAGCTCTGGGTACTGTCTAGAAATTATTCTCAATGCAGAATGTCACTTGCTGACCTTGTGGGTACAACCCCTTGGTTTTTAAGTGTCAAGCTAATTCTTCTACTGTGTTCTCAAATCAGGTACTAGTTGTATGTGCGTGGAGAGCATCTGTTGAACCTAGGGTGTCCCGGGATTGGTGCTGAATGCCGTTCGCGTTATTTAAACCGAGTATGCATCTAGAGCCCTGGCAATGACCAGTAGCTACTGTACTAGTCTGGTGGAGCATGAGCTAACTGGTCAAGGTACCAAAACATACCAGAACTACCCTGGAACTGCTGCGACTCTCGATCCACTAATTGCCTTAATCTTATGCCTGCATTGAGCAAACGTGAATAATTTATGGGATGACTTGTAAATTCTCAAACTTAAGTGTTAAGTGTCCTGTGGAGCAATAATGCCTTTTCTAGCCATTGACTCAAGGACAACCCCACCCCCACCCCCTCACCCCCGGTTAAAAAGCTCTCTAGTGGACACTGTAGCCATGTTTTCTCAAGAAAAGTATACAGGTCTGCACATTTCACTCAGTGACATGCCTGGATGGCATTGTGAAGCTAACGACTCCTCCTTCCACGAGGGACACCCAGCCGCCTCCGAGCCTTTGCTGTGCCGGAGGCCCCCCCCCCCCCGCCGAGAGCCGACGGGGATGTAAACTGTCCTGATGGGAACGAAATATCCTGATCCCCTTTTCCCCCTTAACGGACAATTATCTGAATTGTTCGAATCATCCCACATTTACTTTCTAAAGTAACTGACTTTATACTGGAGAAGGGTTAGACTCGGACGCAGGGAAGGAAGTTCTGAGTCCCCGCGCGGCCCGGCCCACCATCTCCCCCTCCCGGCGCCTCACGTCACTACGGTCTGTTCATCGCAATTCCCGAGTCAGTATTGATGGTCCGCGTTCATTCAGATTGCCTCAGTTTCCCCGTTTCCATTCTCTGTTCCAGGCTCCCGTCCAGGAGACCGCGTGACATGTGACGGTCTCATCTCCTTAGGTCCCCCATGGCTGTGAGAATTGCTCCAACCTGCCTTGTTTTGGGTGACCTTGACGGTTTGGGCGACCTTACAGTTAGTTATAGTGACCTTGACAGTTTGATAACCTTGACATCATGATGACCATGACAGTTTGATGACCTTGGCAGTTTGGTGACTTGACAGTTTTATGACCTTGACGGTTTTGGTGACCTTGACAGTTTTGATGATCTTGAGAGTTCGATGACTTTGACAGTTTTGGCAACCTTGACAGTTCTATGACTTTGACAGTTTGATGACTTTGACAGTTTTGGCGACCTTGACAGTTTTGGCGACCACAGGTCAGGTATATGGTAGAAGGCCCCTCTGTTGCCATTTGTCTGGTTGTTTTCTCACAGTCACACTGGGATTGTGGATTTGGGGGAGGAAGACCGAGAAGAAAAGTACCATTTTCATCACATCACCCATGACATGTGAATGTGGCTGCTGACCTTGATCACCTGGCCAAGGTCGTGTTGACCCGTTTGTCCCCGTGCAGTTCCTGTGTCCTGCCTTTCCACTCTGGTCTCCTCTGGGGGGTCCCCTCTCCAGGGCAGAGGCTGTGCCTCTTCTCCCTCAAATCCCGTTAAGCTGGGAAAGTCACCTGAGCTGGGATCACGTGCTGACTGTGTCAGGACAGGCGAGACTGACAGAGACCCGTGGTGCTGTGGCTGGTCCGTGGTGGGCGTGTCTGCTCTGTGACCTCTGTACCTCCCATCACGATTATTTTTTAAAACTGTCATTTTAGAAAAGATATTTGAGAAACCATTCAAGAACCCCGTCAGGACTGTACGGTAAAATATTTGCTGGAATAATTTAATATACAAAAAAAAAAAAAAAGAGCCCGGAGAGGTTTGTTGGAAACCTTGCTTACAAACTTTTATTCAGGTTAGTCTTCAAATAATTGAAAGAAAATGACCAAATGTTTCCCTTTTTTAAATGACATTCCCAAAGCTAAATGGATGTGTTTTATTTGGGACAATTCTTCATTTATGTTAAAAAGGAAGACAAGCCTTGTCTTCCTCATAAGAGTGGACTCTGGACATATTAAGGGGAAAAGTGTTTCTTATTTTGTTCAATCACAAGAGTAAGACCCAAAGTTCTTGCCAAATTTTGCTTTTATATACTCATTGCACAATTCCCTCTCGCGTCATCGAGGGATAGAATAAAAGATGGCCATTTATCGGAAGAGGTGCTCTAAGTAGGAAGGAGAAAGGGTCCGTCTGGTTGTTGGCTTGCTCCCCAAACACCCCCCCGTCATTCTCGAAGAGCATGCAAAGCAGCCTTTCCACGCGGATGTCAGGACGAGGTGCTTCGCGTTCTGAGCCCCGGTCTGCAGAAGCAGAGGCTAGCTCTGTTTTCAAACATCACGGCCTCAGAATGTCAGCTCCTCTCGTCCCTGCAGTCACCGCCCAGGGCGTTTGACCTGCGTCATTTCGGGGACACGCAGCCACTCACCAGGAACACGGCCATCGAGGTGTTTCAAACGGGATCTGTGCCTTACTGAACACACAGCTGTTATACTCCACACTAGAAGCAAAGGCGAAAACAAAAAACTCTACGCGTTGTTCTGGGAAAAAACCCAAAGGACTAGTAGCAAGTGTTAGTATTTGAAACCATTACAAGGGGGAGTGTTTGAAGCCTGCTCCTAAACTGGACACCTGTGTTCTGGTGGATGGAGGGAGGAGACTAAGGTGAGGTCAGCATTTTAAAGGGGTTCTTTCTACTAGGTCCATGCTCTCTATTACAGCGAAGCCAAGGGTTTGTGAATTTCCCTGCTGTCTGAGTTTTGTGTTTTCGAGGATGTAGCACCTGCCCCATAACAGACTTGTTGTACACGTGAGACTTTGGCTCTGGTACATACCTTTCCATGGCCTCTAAACAGACTCTCCCGGAGCCCTGCCCTAGTGTGTACCCTGTGGTATTTCAGGGTCAGAAGAGCAGTGTGTGAACCTAGGAGCTATTGTTTTGTTAAGTGAAAGTGTTACGAACATATTTTCATGGTGACCTCGGCATGTTTTAAAAAGCCGCCAAATCACAGCATGATTCTTTTTCTGATTAAAAATGAACAACTCAGCCCTGGCCAGTTTGGCTCAGCCTTTAGAGCGTCAGCCAGTGGACCAAAGAGTCTTGGGTTTGATTCCTGTCAAGGGCATGTACCTCGGTTGCGGCTCGATCCCCAGCCCTGATCAGGGTCGTGCAGGAGGCAACCAATCAATGTGTCTCTCTCACATTGATGTTTCTCTCTCTCTCTATCCCTCTCCCTCCCTCCCACTCTCTCTGAAAATCAATGGAAAAATATCCTTGGGTGAGGATTAAAAAAAGAAAAAGAGTAGCTCAATCATTTAGGAAATGTTCATTGACGGGGGGTAGCGAGGTGCAGTCACTGAGGAAGGAGAGAATAAAATAATTGGCATAGTCCGTGCTGTGGAGGGACCCATTGAAAGCTAAAGGAATTTTAAATCTGAATAATAGTAGTAGTAATAATAATAATATTAATAATAATGATAATAATAATAAATTCTGCTTAGATGTTATTAACCCAAGATTCTAACACCAAAAAAACCCCCAAAACACAAGTGTTTTAAGCTGCTTTCTGTGAATGTTAGACGCTCACCATGCTCTGCACCGGAGCCACAGTGATGTTCCTATTCCATGCGCTTTCTGGAATTATATGAAGTATCTAAGACAACGCTGCTAGCGGAGAACCTACTCGCACAGGACAGAGTCAGGGGTGGAGGCTGAGTCTTGCTGTCTGATTCTCCATCCCCCCGGGGCCCCGCCGTCGAAGCAGACGGCACAGGCGGGAACCAGAGTGGAGTGTGCTCCCTCGTCCTTAGGCCCCTCAGGGCGGGAGTCAGGACGCGGAGACCTGGTGGTGGGAGTCCAGGTTCCCGGTTTCTCTCTGTAACAACCTTCTCTGGAATCAGCATGCCCCCCGCCCCCCGTAAGTGAAAGCTGTACCTTCCAGTGCTGTCGCCCTGGTGACGGGGCCCAGGACACCCAGCGCCGCAGCTCCTGGAGCAGAGGTGGGCTCCTGCGCGCGAGGACACACCTGTGAACACTCAGCATCAGTGCATCTTCTCTTCTAGAAAGTCTGGACTTTTCAGGAAAAACAACCCTTTTTTTATGAATAAACTTTCTGATGCAAATTCCATTTTGTTTCGCATAAGAGACCTTATTCTGGGCCGATATTTGTGTGAATCAGAATCGCAGTCTAAGAGTATCCAGTGGATCCCAAATCTAATTTCTCCAAAGCACTTCAAGACAGGAATTAGTGGTTTCAGATGCTGTCAGTACTGGTGTCTAACGTCGTCCAGCCTTTGTTGAGTATCTGTTTCTTAATGTTTATTTAAGGGACAGAACGGTTTTGATCAAATCAGTTAGCATTTGGATTTGGTCAAATAGGGAATTATGTGTACTTGGAAGGATATTTTATTTTGCAAATGATAGGATTGTGTGCAATATTTTTTTTCTTGCATCATTTAGTTCAGATAAATATGCAAATCTGCTTTTGCAGCAGACGCCTTAAGGTCATGTTTTTCAGTATTTGTGTAGAACTGTAGCAATGTTCTAGATGATTTTAGGGAAAAAAAATAGTGTTTATATTGTTGGCAGGAGAAATGCATTTGTTTATTTAAAAGAATTAGGAGTAGAGCATTATAACTAACTGCCTCAGCAACAAGAAATATGCAAGAAGAAATGTCTGAACTTTAGATTCACATCAACAATGTTGTTACTTTAAGAGAACTGTACGTGGCACGGCATGCTGGCTCTGCGTGTCCGCGGAACAGGTACCCGGTCCGCACCACGTAAATCTAAGGGGCATTTGTCCGGTGATGCCCGCGGCTGTGCATCGGAACCTCCTCTGGGTGACTGTTGGTAAGATCGATACAGGGCGTTGCAACAGCTTTGGACTGTAAATGAAGTTCATGTTTGTAGGCTGTACAGTTTGTTTGGTCTTGCAGCTTCTCTAGGTGTCTACCTTTACGATACTTGAATCAGGCAGACAAGCACTGTGGCAGTCCTGTAGCTGTAGCTGCAATGTGTACATCTACCCCAGAATCTACCCCCTGGATGGCACATCCAGAAAGCTGTGTTCTCAAACCACCCTTTTGTCAAGTGAAGGAATTCGAAACTGTACAATCATTTGTCTTCAAAGGTTGCAAAATCACACATGGTTACCTCTTTGATGTGAGAAACCTCTCTGTCTCTTTGTCTCTGTGTACTATCAGTTCTTGATGAGGACATTTGTTCATGTCCCTCCACGAGGGCCACTGAGGGATGCAAACAGAGGAGCCTTCGGTTGACTCCGCGATGTCCGGGACAGGACCGAGCGAGGCACGGTGCGTGTTCAAGGCCCCGCATGCATCCTTCAGGGAGCG